ATAAAAACAAGCGTGCATCGGAATATTTTTTATCAACATTGGTATTTAAATTAATAGAAATTGAGTAAAATATGATAAACAAGATCAACAAGGAAAGGCGACGGTCAATGAACGCAACCTCCACACGCCCAGCAAGAAGAACTAGTGGCAAGCCATATGGCGAATATTTCAATATATAAGGGAAAATGACGTAATTATTACTTCTACCCATATGAACTGTCAGTAAACCACCGATCGCCCGATTGACAATTTCGTTTAAATAGATAAATACAAGCGTTTCCGGACAAGTACACCCGTTTTGTTGGAAATGAAGATCATATCTAACATGCAAACGTAGGAGCAAAACACTTCAATCTTTATTGATATTTTACGTGAAACTAATCTGCCTAGAGTTTTTAGTTTATAAACAACATGCTGACAGGTTATACGCTTAATCGTCTGAAGTTCAAAGAAAATGTACTGAAAAACAAACATATGCAGGCAACTTTATACACTTGTTTTCAGTATGAAAACTTGTTTCTGTTTTTCACGTGGAACTTTGTTTACATTAATGGGTTTTAATTGAAGAAATCCTTTTTGCATAATTCGTTATTGGTAAATGCGTGCACAGGAAATGAGATGTGTTAGAACTGGGCCTTCATCAAACACTTAAAGTTAAACTAAACTGAAAAACACTTTGACAGTTCTAAACAATTGCAAATGGTAATGTTAAATAGTTCGATCCAAAAAATAATGTTCAATTTTGAAATGCTATTAAAATTGTAATGAAGTATAGTACAAAAATTTCATCAGTAGAGTACCCTCCTTTGCTCCTCAATTATCACAAATCATTATTTTTTTATTAAACAAAAAGTTTTAAAAGGGGTTTTAAGATAAATTATACATATACCAAGTAAAGACTACATAATAGCATTGAACAAGTAAACAAATTCACATTACTTTCAAATTGTGCAACAAAACGTTTAATACACCTCATTATACCAGACATGACTAAACATTTTCCCAATCAAAGTAAACTTCAGCAATTTCACAGAAATATTATTTACAAAACCAACATACTTTCAAGTCTTGAGAAAAAAAAACTCTAATAAGCAACTCTAACAATCAACTTTGTAATTTAATTGGCTTGTCCATTAACAATGAACAGATATTTACAAGACATGAGGTAATGCTGTAATACTGTCAATGTTTGGGGTTGTGGTGTGGATAGTCTTACTCATTGATATTGACGAATTTGGTCACCAAGTTACCGATTAAGTATCAGCACTCATATTAAAAACAGACAGAAAAATTCCTGGAAATCTAGAGAGATTATATTGTAAAATTACATCACGACAACTATATTTTTCATGTGCTGAGTTAGTTCACTAACATGTTTGCACAATCAATGTAATGTTTTAAGTTTTATCCTAACATTTATAAAAGGTCTAATGATACTGACAGTCAGCACAGGTATGACGTAATTTTACAATATTTACATACACTTATAATCTCTCTAGATTTCCTGGAATTGTTCTGTCTGTTTTTTATACTAAAAACGGCAGTTAATGATGACAGTACATATGCCGAGCGAAATCTATGGTATTCACACTGGTGTACAAACTTGCTGGCAACATTGTCTTACTTAGTTTTTATTGAATCCTATTCCAGTAATTGTTATTAGAAACTCTAAAATAACATGCTTAGCATACAAACTCCTCTATGTTTTGCCATTCAAAATGATTTATGACGTATGGGAACGTTGCTTAACAATCACCAGGTTGTACAGTTATATTCCCAAGTCACTTTATGGTATTTTCCAGGTAGTTCAAACCCATTTCAATATTGAATTTCGTTGTAATGCCTGGATGGAGATGGAGAATAACGAGCTCTGATAATCCTACACGACATTCCTGTGGATCTTTATTCGTTACTTTTTAACCTTAATTAGGTCTTATCACGGAATAAAGACCATATACAGTTGTTTATATCAATAATGATTTACTCAATGAACATCTAAGATGCTATAATATTCTCTGATAAAGACGTATTAAAGTCGAAAGTAGTAAAATGTGCTGTCCTGATTTTTTACATTAAAATGATCTGTAATAATTTAAACGAATGAATGGTTTTGCTTTATTTTCAATATTTTAAATATAGATAAATGATTATGTAACTATAATGAATTATGACTTGAGCTGAGCTGCATCGAGTTCTAGATGTTTATATGAATTTTATTATTCACGTCAGCATTATCATAAATTCAATACATATTATGAACTACAATGCCATTTAGTATTGAATAAAGAGAGACTTAAATATTTCATTAACGGATTTACAAACTTCTAAGAAGTAGTCAGGATTTTATCCAACCTTACTCGTTTAACAAACAAAATATCTATTGAGCCTAAAACAATTATAAATTGCACGTTTATGAATTATTGTCAGTTGATTTGATATAATTAAGAATGAAAATCAGTGGCAATGTAATATCTACCTTCAGAATCTGTCATGTCCATAAATTTCTTACAGCACAAAGAAACAAAAGTAAATTAAAATTAAAGTCAGACATTTTTATAAGTCAAAGTTTATTATAATAAATATTGATCAACTCTTCAAATTTATTGATGAACTCTAATCCTTACCTATAATTGATATTAGATCTAACTTGAAAAAATATTATTGATTATAGTAAGTTTTTACGGTTACATTTGTCATTTCCTTGTTATGAAGTACATAGACAAGCTTTTCACTATCAGATAAACCAACAAACTTCGATGACTAATCCTTTCCTAAATCGAAAGATTTACGTATCTATCAGTTTCATCTAATTGACTTCAAACTACATAAACGTGTGATTAAGTGAAATGTGCTTGCTAAAATTACCTATAACTGCACACTCCATATAAAGGAATTTGTAATTCCTTAATTTCTTGCCTTCCCTTCCAGTGTCTTAATTGAAAACATTTTTCCATTTCGTTGCGGTTTCAACAATTATATTAGTAAATTGCATTGAAATGTCAAAATTATCTAATTTTTCTAAAACTGTCTGATATAAAAATTGCAGATTTCTATAATTGCTCGAGATTAATGTTCCATTTGATGTAGTTCTACATCAATAACTTGAGTGCAGATCATTCAGTCACTCTGTTTTCCAGAACAATTAACAAAATTGGAAAGCGTTGCGACACTTTTCACTCAAAAAGTACTAAAAATAGCACGAAAAAAACGATTTTCAATATAATTCATTTTGCAGAATTTCACTATTATATGGATTAATTAGCATTGTATTTAATGAACATAAGTTTGCTTTATAAATAATTTTCTTTATCTGAAAAAGAAGCATTACATTATCAGCATACAGCAAAATATAAACTCGGTCATTGTCTTGTTGGAATCACCGACCAATAGCTTTTTTGTAAGTAACTAAATTATTTATAAAAGATTTAAAAAAAAACATCTGAGAGGGCAAACAATACCGGTATATTTTACATGGACTTCAAACCAGTCAATTCTTATCCAATTCAGTCTCAAACATGGGGTTATAAATTTGAACAATGATTTTATGTCAAGAACATAGAAATCCTTTCACCTTTGTTGAATGCATTTACAATTGCTCTTAGTGTGTTGATAGGTGTGTGTTCATCCCTGACTTGGTTTTGATTGAGAGTAAAACAATGGAATTGGGTATTACAAAGTTTAGTATTCGTCTTCCACACTTTAGCACAATCCTCTACACTATCAAATGTTGCAATAATGATTACTGCCACTATAGAATCGTTGTTAAATGAAATTCTACTAGCTAAAGAAACTTGCATTAACAACAAACACGCAATCAGAGATGTTATATTAACGATCCTTTAAGATCGTTTAGCACGACATTATTGTTGTGTTTGTGGTACTTTTCGGCATTTTTCTTGTAGGGTGGTTCCGATATTCCTACTTGAATAATGTTAAATCACCCTAAGGATATTTTGCCTGCTTCTTAATTTCGACATCTTATATGTGATATGCAGGCTTCATAACCTCCGATCCCCTTTTAAAATTCGATTTGGCTTACTTCCGCCCATTTTTTCTTGTTTAGAGCACACGCTTTCTTTTACTGTGGGACCATACCCCTCTTTTTATGGAATGGTACGAATTGAAAGTTCCATGATAACTGCAGTATGAACTCATCTGCGGATGTTTTTAAATTCAAAATTTCACCATTACCATGTAAAATGTTGAATTCTGCTTAAGTTGGTGCTTTGTGGCTTGGACGGTAGTTTGCACTTGACAGTCCTGTCCATGAACAGGCTCAATTATACCGAACCTGCAATGTTTTCAATTTTGCCGTTTTGGACTTTCTTTAATGATTCCTATTTTCTCTCTATCATTGCATATGTTAAACTTTTTTAAGTATTGTTATATTTTCTGGTCATTCGGGATCATTGATGTCAGCACTATTAGGTGTTAAAAATTGAGTTCCTCTCAAGCCGGTGCTAGGGGCGTGAGGGAATGTGCACTAATTCATTATTTCTCAAACCGAGGCTGCAAATTTCATGTTTTTTTGTTGTGATTTATGCTTGCGAGGGATCACTTTGTTTCCAGATTTTTCTTAATAACTTACTTGACTTTTTTAGCAAGAATTTCATCACACTCGGGTAGTTTCCTGGTTACGAAACTGAGGGTTCAAGTAGTTTAGATTTGCTGAACACTATCAGCTGTCCTGTAAGAGTATCAAGGGGTTGCCTGAATTCGTGTCAACTTGTATAGTGTCAATCCGTGCCAGGATTTTTTCCGTTTCCTTTTTTTCATTCTGATTACTTTTGAAAGATATGTGTTATCTCATTCACCATACGGTACAGTTTATTCACAATTACTTTAATGCTCTGATATTATTGTGATGACTATAGTCTTACATAGCTGGTGTTACCCGATACAAAGTTTAGTTAACATGTTCCATTTAACTGTGGAATAGTCACTTTCAATTGGTACACATTGTTTCCCTTCTTTAAAGTAACTTCATCTGAATTATGTACTCATTCTGCCAAACGTTCCTTCTGGTTTGTACATTTACCATTGATGATAGCATACTCTATATCTTTCGACTCCAATATACATGTATTACGTTTCCTCTCACGTCCGTTTGAAGAACTATCGCTCTCATCTTTCTGAGTTTGTGTAGTATGAAATTATACTATGAAAATCTAGGAAATGATAACACTGAAACAATATTTTATCATAAAAAATTAATTACCAAATATAGTGTCAAACTGTATATTTCCCTTTGCAATACGCAGATGAAACCAGTGTTGACTGATAACAATACATTTGCAGTCGGCCTGTTTACATGCAGCAATGCCAACAACATAGTTATCACATGTCATTGATTGTATAATGATATATTTTCCTCTCAAACTGTGGTAGTTCGGTTTCATTTAAACGTTATCTCAACAAAATTTATTTTCTCCATACTCTAGGGAATAATGTCTGTATCGTGCACACAGGTCAATTACTGTGATCAATATAGCGTGCACGCGAACAAGATATTGCATTATTGATTTCTTTCTGATCAGGAGAAATTTTGCATGAAGGCCAAATAATTTTTAAAGATTAATACTGCTCAAACCTTTTTGCTACATTGGATATATTACTATCTTTTCTGAATTATTCCTCTAGACACATATGTTGTATGTATTTACAGTTCACATTTGTTGTTTTCCGGTATGTTTTCTGTAGATATGAGGACATGTATAGAGTACTGTGATAATCCTTAAAACATATGCTGAGAAGACAGAAGTCATTAAGCTTTTAAAATTCGGTCCTTTGTAGCAAAGGGTCCTTTGATAGCAAAGCATTAAAGAACATTTTGAACATGTGCTACAAAAAACAAGAACCCATCTGTATCTAGCATGATCATTGTTCGTAATTATTCTGTTTTTCTTTGATTAATGTGCTGTCATATTCACTTTATTTTGATAATTAATGTTTAAACTGATAATAATTTAGGACTCTTATATAAAAAGCCAAGTTTTCAAAATTTTCACAAACATTATGGTACTGGATTAATTCATTAAAACAATTAAATGGAAAACATAAACAACCATAGATTAGAAAAGATATTTTAACTCTTTGATAATTTATATTTTCGTCGATGTGTAAACCACGATGCATTTAATGTCAGTCAGAATAACAATTATATTAAGACAGTTAAAGATGTTTCTCAATAAACTGTACTGGCATGCGAGCAGTTCCCGTACAGAAGCAGTACCCGTATTTTTCATTTAAACGCTTGATTTTTACTTGCATTGTTCAAAAATTCATTTCAAATCAAGCAGATACATAAACGAGACAAAATCTAATTGTCAGTTCGGCAGTACGTATTTAAAGTCTTATTTTAAATCACTTTCACCTGTGCGTCGTCAAAACGTGACCTTGTTTTCTCTGGGGGATTCCGTTCTTGCGCGCATGCGCAAAAATACTTACACGTGAGGCTTGTTAAAGGGTTTTCCACTAATACCACCTGTTTACAAATAAGTAGGCAATGAGATGAAATATTGTTTAATTATCAGAATGTTGACCAATATTACTATAAATAATAATTTTACGGCTTTGATGCGTAAAATGTCATGCATACAAGCATGTTACTGCATATGAATGCGCTGGGGTAACGGTACCGGGTAATAGATACCCGCGTTTAGTCTGCGCTCTATTTCCTGAATTACATCTATTTATCTCTTAGATAATGGTCTGTTCAACAATTGTAAATGAAAAATAGGTCCGATATAATAAAATTGTATAATTATAATGGGTTAGATTTTATGTACGGGAACTACTTCTCTTCATACAAAATAATGGATAATTTCGGTACCCCATATGAGGCCTCATAAGTAAGGGTTATTCTATGTTTAGAACATGATGGAATTTCCATGATTTGTGTGACGAGCCGAATATTGAAGTGTAACATTCAAATATTGGTGAGTGAGCGTAATAAAAAAATAATGATTAAGTAACTGTGATTTTTGTACGGGAACTGCTCGCATGCCAGTAGGTAAATTTAGTTTATTTATCGTCATCATATAATAACGTTTTTATTTCAGAGAAAGACCATTTGTTTTTTTATATAATTTTCTCTGTATTAACATCCATATTTGTAGTTTCAATGTTGGAATTCAGCTTTCATTTAAATTAGCGATCAAATTACCGTATATTTTGGACAAAACTTTACACTAAGTTGATAAATTAGCCTGTGATATCTTACTTTTCGATTCATGTAGCTTGAGTAGTTGTAATGTGATATTATTAAAGAAAATCATATACAATGATTTGATATATACAATGTACATGGATTGGATATTATACGTGTACATGGATTTGATATATACAACCAAAGTTAGATTGAGGCAAAGATTAAGTACACATTTGCTTTATTGTAGGATTTGCTCACTGTTATGTAAAATTAACACTTTTAGTTTTTTTTTGTCAAAAGAAAACGAAACGTCCGAGGCCATGTTGTTAAGATCTTTGACTTCAAACCACTTGACCTTCACCTCTGCGGAATCGAATCCTGCCAGGGATTTTTTATTCTTTCATTTGAGGAGACTATCCAGCTAGCCTACGAGACTTCGGTGGTTCTACTCAGGTACCAGCTTGTGCCTGAAATGATGCACCTGGGTTCTCCCTCCACCAGGAAAGCGCCATGTGAACATTACTGTGTTGTGTAAACCCAACCAAACAATTAAGAGAAAACTATCATATTATAATATTATAATATAATATTATAATCACATTAAAGAAAACAGTAGCAGATGATACATGTATCTTATAACTTTTGTCTTGATGGACATTAATCACCCGAATGACTTAATGTTTTTACTTAATTTTTGATGGACAAAATGCATCAGTTTGTTTGAGATACTGTCATACATGCTCATGTAGGAAAGCAAGTATAATCTTAATTAATATGTTACATCAAAGTTATTTATCCAGAGATTTTAGTTTATAAACAACGTTACGGCAGGTTATCCGCTTTACCTCTAAACTTCAAAGGAAATGTACCGAAAAACAAACAAATGCGGGAAACTTTATACACTTGACGAGGCATTTCATCTCTAATATGAAAACATGCTTTTAAGTTTCATACCGATTTTTCATGCAAATCTAAGATAGCATTCATAAGTTATAGGTGTAGAAAACGTATTACGTTTTTAGTCATAATTTGTTGTACAATACCATCACATTTTCATGTGGAATTTATTTTATAAGAAAATTATCTCTATTATCTCTTTATTAAATGCAGTCTAAAAGTATAATGTTTCTTTATAATTTCGAACGAGTAAGTTAAGAATGTCAATACCATGTATTAAAATGTCACTGGTAAGAATTGTTACACTATGATAATTATATCAGGATGTTGTCCATGAATCACATCATTCATATCATCTACATGACGTTTATATACCATTTTATAAAATCTTGACACATTACACATTCGTGAAGCGACATTTTTCCCGGAATGTGCAAACATACACTTATGATCCAGACAAATTAGGGAAAACATAACACTTTAAAAAGTAAACTCCCATTAGTGAAATCTTGATTTACAAATAAATCACAACTGTGAGAAAACTCCATAAACCTATCTCAATAAATGCTGTATTATGTGTCAGCAACATAGCTTGTCCATTAACATTAAACCAATGCACGCATAATTGCAATATATTACATACTGCAGTGATACAAACTAAATAGTTATGTTTAAGTGCAGATGAAGTGATTGTTATATTATTGATACGTCGTCTACAATTTTCCATGTCAGGAAACTATTACATTTGCGAACGGAAAGTTGCGGTTCCAATAAAGTGTCCGCCCATAACCACACATTTAGCTGTTACATTTTAGTCAATAGGTTTATGTTTATGAAATATATATTCAAGAATGTTTACAGTTAACCAACTTGAAACATATGCCAAACATATGAGAATCAGAAAACAGTTCTTATTGTAAATTGTGGTCACAATCTTTTCTGGATTTATAAGCATTGTATTTTATGAACGCCGGTTACCTTAGACACGAAACGTGCTTTATAAATCATTTCCTTCCCTGAAAGAAATACTTCATCATCAGCATATAGTAAAATATAGACTCGGTCAATGTGATTACATAATGCAGTTACACAAATCTGAAATAGTGTTAAATAATTTAGGTAAAGTGTTAATGAAGTGATTGTTATATTTCTGATACTTCGTCTATAATTTTCAATGTCAGGAAAATATTACACTTGCGAACGGAAAGTTATCGGTTCCAATATTGCCCGCGCATACCTTAGAATGATAAAAAGAGAACATATATAGTAATCTATAGTTGATTTACATTTATACTGAGCAATTTATATTTAGTTAATGACATGAGAATAATCTTGAGTATAATAACTGTGATTTCATGCCTAACATAAGCATTTGATATATGAAATTATTTATTTCAATGAAAACGTATTAAACGAAAACCATTGACTTAAAAGTTATCAATATTTAAGACAACGTGAAACACATTTGTTACAGTTTTTTTTGCTCTGCAGCATACATTCAAACATATATCAAGGTAATTACTGAGTTAGTTAGTTAATTGATTGATATCGTTTTAAACAAAAAAAAACCATTCAGAATCCTAAATAATTTAATTTTAGAAATGTAACTCAACATTAACTTTAATATTAAGGGCTCAAATGATAGTGTCGGTGGCGATCTTGTACAAAAATTTGTTGGTTTTTAGCTCACCTGAGCATATGCTCAGGGTGAGCTATTAGGATCACTCTTCGTCCATCGTCTGTCGTCCGTCGTCCGTCGTATGTCGTACGTCGTACGTCGTCCGTTGTCCGTTCACACTTTTCAAACGACATCTCCTCTGAAACCATAAGGCAGATCATAATGAAACTTCACAGGGATGTTCCTTGTGTGAAGCCTTAATAAAGTTGTTTAAAGAATTCCATTCCATGCAGAACTCTGGTTGCCATGGCAACCAAAATAAAAAACTTTAAACATCTTCTTCTAAAAAACCCAAAGAGCTAGAGCTTAGATATTTGGCATGAAACATCTTCTAGTGAGTGTCTGCCAAGATTGTTCAAATAAAAGCCCTGGGGTCAAAATTGGCCCCGCCCCAGGGGGTCATTGAT